AGAGAGAAACATCGATCAGCTGCCTCCTGCACATCTCCCACTGGGGATGTGCCCGCAACCCAGGTACATGCCCTTGACCGGAATCGAACCTGGGACCTTTCAGTCCGCAGGCCGACACTCTATCCACTGAGCCAAACCGGTTTCGGCCATTCTCCTTTCTTTATGCACTGTTCCCGTACACAAGCACAGTTCTGACTTCTAAGAGCTGTGTACTTCTAAAAATGACTTCTAAAAATAGATTATTTTCACCTATGTTTGTTATTTTACATAGAAGAAATCCTTTTGTGTATCTGGACTCTTTCATTTGATGTATTATCATAGGTATTTGTAGAGTGCTCATCCTTATTTTTATGTATAGTTCCATTTCATCACAAATTATTTATCCATTATTCTATTTTTGGTTCCAATTTCAAGGTTTTATGATTCGCGTGATATTATTAACATTGTATTCCATTTTATGCTTGGAAAATAAAACTTATTCCACGTCTTAGGGATTTATAAAATGTTAAATTTGGATTAATTATAGATAATCTCATATTATTTATAAAAATATTGCCCTGATATGTACAATCTCCTGATAATTGTAATTAAAATACATCAAGAATAAAGTTTTTTGCGTAGTCGCAACTTTAAAGCTACTTTTTCCAACCCTAGTAAATGTACCACCCCTTCCACTCTTGATAAGCATTTAACACCCATGACAACCACATCTGTCAAACACATTATCCTCCGGAGGACATAATTACTCAAGAACGGAATGGCTGCCTCATAGAGAATACACATGCTAAAATTTAGTCATTTCTGCCCTTAGCTTTTCAAAGTTTGTATAACAATATATACGTCCTCAAACAAGTAAAATAATTTTTGCTTTCCACATTGTCATCATTTTGAACTATTGTTCAAATTTTTGAATTTTAGCCATCTTGCTAGTTGTGTAGTGATTTCATAGTATAACCTTAACATATTTATCTATTGATCAATGATATTATGAAGGCATTTATGAACTTTGGGCTGTTTGATAGCTTTTGTTGTGAAGCATTTCTTCAGGGGTGTTGACCGCCCTGTTTCCCCTTCCCCCACAGTACATTGATGGTCTAGGCTAGAGAATACCAATTTTATCAGTTAGGCAATTTGTTTTACAAATTACTGATACCAGTATTCTGTGTAGAGTATATGTGTTTCAGAAGTGTTCTCTCAGGATTTTATTTTATTTCTCCTGTGGTGTCTGTTAATATTTTGATAAATACAAATTTTTATTTTGGATATAGATCTATCTATGTATCTTTCAGTGTTATAATTTTTGTACTTTGTAAAGAAATCTTTGCTTATTCCAAGTCATGAAGATATTCTTCTTTTTCAAGAAACTTTGTGCTTTTAGATTTCACATTTATATTCATAATTAATTTTAAATTTGATGCAAGTAAAGACTAGGATCCTTGTTTTACACAGAAAACCTAAATGAGCTAGGTCCGTTTACTAAGAAACCCTCCTCTCCTTAATATATAGAAGTGCGTCTTATATTTGAATAAAGTCAAATTGCTTCTGTGAGTCATTTATTGGACAAATTATTTTCATTTATTTTATTGGTGTTTCTACTTGCATTGATGGCTCTGTTTTTTAAATATGATTTTGGAGAGGGAGGCAGGTTAGGAGGGAGTGAGGGGAGGCAAGAGGGAGGGAGGGAGTAAGACAGAGAGAGGGCATCTAAGGGAGAGAGAGATATCATTAATAGATGAGTTGCCTCTATCAATAGATGGGTTGCCTCTATTGTACCTGAACCAGGGATCAAACCCTCAATCTCAGCATGTGCCCTGACTTGGAATTAATCCTGTGATCTTTCAGTGCCCAAGCTACCAAGGCCAGAACCTGAGGTAAGCGCTTTGTAGTCTTCCTTCTTTTAAGATATTGCCCTGACTAACCTAGATGTTTTGCACTTACACATAAATTTGATAAGAACTTAAGTATTAAAAATACTATTGGTATTTTAATTATTAGTGCATTAAATCTTTAGAAAAATGTAGGGAGCATTGATCTCATCACATTTGTTATTTCCAATCAATGGACATGGAATATTGCTACATTTACGTCTCCGTTAATAACTCAGGAATTATTTTGTAGCTTCTAGCAATGAAGTGATGCAAATAATTCACTAATATGTTCTTTAAGTATTTTATAATTTTTTTGGTGTGTAATCCATAGTTTAAAATTTTATTTTCATCTCCTTTTTACTAGTACATAGGAAATTGATCTTTTATATGCTTGCTTACCTTATATCCACCAATCTTGGTAATATTCACTTATTGTTTCTCATGTTTAAGGTTTATAATTCTTTTGGATTTTTAATGTACACAATAATGTCACTAGAAAATAATTACAATTTTATTTCTACTTTCCAAAGCATATAATTGTTCATGTATGCTTTAAAAGGAATCTGAGATGCCGCCAAGCAAAAGGAACATCTGTATGTCACTATGCCAGTATGGTGGGCACCTGTATTTAAATGTTGTGTAAGATACAAGTAATATAACTACTTGGCAATGTGAAACCAGTTATGGGGCTTTGATCTCTTACAGTAAAACCTGAGGACAAATCAAAGTTGAAACCAGAGGATAATCACTACTTCAACATCTATAAGGTGAAAACAACAAAATAATATTTTTTTTCTAATCTCCCATGCCTTTTACAGACCACTGCTTTCTAAGTCCTTTCCTATATCACAAACAGCTTCTATAACCTAATTTATGGTATATACATTTGATATTGAACTTCACCTAGGGCGTTTGCTCAAGATTTTCCATATCCTATGCAGGGCACCTTTCACTTCTTTGTTTCTCAGGCTGTAGATCAAGGGGTTCAGCATGGGTATGATCAAAGCACAGTATTATCAACTCAATGTCATGTGTGCTTGAGCATATCAATGTCAACAAGGGAAGATTGTCACAGTAGAAATGATTAATGATATTATGGCCACAGAAAGATGAAATAAAAATCTTTATGGTGGTTATCAGAGAGAGAAAAGCACTGTGGAGATAGGGGACTGCTACCAGTGCCCAGCATACCCTTGGTGACATGATGACTGTGTAGAGCAGAGGATTACAGATGGCCACATAGCGGTCATAGGCCATTGCTGACAGAATGAAAAGTTCACTAATGATGAACAAGATGAAGAACGCTAGCTGGGCTGCACACCAGTTGTAGGGAATAGTCTTTTGTTTAGTTACAATGTTTGCCAACATTTTTGGTCCCACAGCTGTTGAATAACCAAGGTCAGTGAAAGCCAGGTGTCTGAGAAAGAAGTACATGGGTGTCTGAAGCCTGGAGTCCATCTTGGTGAGGATGATCATGCCCACGTTGCCCGCCACGGAGACTGCATAGACAATGAGGAACACCCCAAAGAAGGTGGCCTGCAGCTCAGGGTGGTCTGTGATTCCCACTAGAATGAATTCTGTTAGCACTGTTAGGTTTTGTTGGTCCCCGCAGTCCATGACGGAACATGACTGTGGGAATAACCATCAGAAGAGTCATTAGGTTTCTGGAGATATCATCTGGTAAATTCTTTTAGGCAAAGCCATTATGTGTTACCAAAATCCCAGCCTTTAGATGTAATAATTTAAAGTAAGACCCAGCCCCATCTTTAAACCTAGAACCAAATATAGAAATCATTACAACCTTACTGCTATAGTAGCCATTTTATTTTTTGTATCACATACTGGTTATCATTACAAGGTGTACGTGATCTATAGCCTGTCACCTATGCATTTTTCGAAAAGTTTGGCCTACAGTGAGAATTCTGATATTTTTTCAAAATTTCTTTTTCATTTAAAAAATATATAGCCCAGCTGGCATGGTTTAGTGTTTGAGGGTCAACCTATTAATCAGGAGGACAGAGTTGTATTCTTGGTCAGGGCACAAGCCCAGGTTGGGGGCTCAATCTCCAGTGTGGGGCATGCAGAAGGCAGCCAATCAATGATTCTCTCTCATCATTAATGTTTCTATCTCTGTCTCTCTCACGCTTCCTCTCTGAAATCAATAAAAAAGTTAAAAAATATATATATGTAATTAAGTAAGCATATCAATTTTTAGCAGGTATCTATAATAATAAAAGCATAATATGCAAATTGACCAAACAGCAGAACGACCGTCAGGATGACCTTCCAGAGACCACACTCTGACACCCAGTGGTGCCAAGCCAGCCAAGGTGGGTGCGATGCGATTGGTCTGAGGCCAGCCATCGCCCCATGATCACCCTGCAGAGGGAGGCCCAGGCCACCGACAAGCGGGCTGTGGCAGGTGGATGGGGCCTCCCTCTGTGGGGGCAACCCAGCCAGGTGGGCAGGTCCTACCTCTTTGGGGTCATTCATTGAGGAGCCCCAGCTGGGTGGACAGGGCCTATCTCTTTGGGGCAATCGATCGCAGGGCTCCCGACTGTGAGAAGGCACAGGGCGGGCTGAGGGACCCTCCAACCCCCTGCCAAGGGCACGAGTTTAGTGTACTGGGCCTCTAGTTATAATAATAAGTAATATAGCTTTCTGCTTCTTGACCCTGCAACTTCACTGTCAATCTCTAAAGAAAACCATTACTTACTCATTTTGTAGACTTTGTTTCTGTTCCTTATAACCCCCATATCAAAATAGTATTCTCCTTCCCATCTCTGTCTGACTTTTTAAAAATTGTATTCTTATTCCACTATGCTTTTATGCATTTTAAACATTATTAAATAGTTTTTACAATGATAGAAAATAATTTTGTCACCTTGGAGAAGTGCCCAACATGTTCACTTTAACGCACATAAATAATTTTTAATTTTTTTTAGAAAACTACATCTAAAATGTCAGCAATTATGTGCTAAGTTTTGGAGTTTCTGATATTCTCCTATGTTCCACACAAAATAAGCCCGGCATCTGTGGTTTATTTAACCTGAGCAAAAAAAATTATCAGGCATCCCTGCACTTGCTTTGACCTTAGAACTAATATCTCTGAAATGATAGATTTAATATTGTAGTTATATTTCCTAGCATATTTATGACAAGTAAAAACATTATTAGTGCACATTTGGTGATATTCTACCTCAAGTTGTCTCAAGTAAATACCATTAATATAATTATCCACAAAAAGAACCATCATTCTAGAGAATGTTATCTCAAATGCCTCAGGGGCTGGCAGGCAATATCATTGCATGAAGTATAAGGGTTGACAGAGAACAGGGAGAAATAGATATTGCATGAATATTTTTAAGTATTCAAATTTTACTTCTTTAAATGTACGTGGACAGGATAAATAATTATTTGATCCTAATAAACCATGTGGACATGGCATTGAAAGGTGTGGAGTATGTTTTTATATGTTAATTTGAGTATTACTCTTATTCATTTCATCTTCCATCACGTATACAACAAATGTTTTGATTTAACACATTTTAATAGAAAGATTACATTTTTCTCTACCTATATTTTCCCAACTTCTTTTACCTTCAGATTGTTTTTAAGACAGATGCTTCCAAACTTTCATGGAAAAAACATCATCTAAATTTTGTGCAAGCTCTTCCAGAGTCTAAAAAATGAGCACTACACTGCAACTCATCCAGGAGTTTAGCAAAGCCCTGGTTTAAAAAATAAAGAGTAAACAGCAAGATATCCATGACTACCATTCTATTTTCAGAGGTGTAAATATCCTAAGTAGTATTAACATATCATTGACATCAACTCTAAAAAATGTACAACAATACAGGTCACCATAATCAAGTCAGGTTGATCCCAAATTTGACTGAATGGTTGAATTTAAGAAAAATCTATAAAAATCATTTACCAGATTATTAGATAGATTTAGAAAAATATGAACATGTGAATGAAGAAATAGTAATGTTTAGAATAGTCAAAACAATAAAATTAAGACTAAAAATAGAAAGACCATGACTTGATATCTTATGAAAAATAGATTGAATCTGCTCTTAAAAGGATAAAAATTAAAACTTTATTATTGAGACATATTATGGAAGTCCTATATACACGAATAGAAATACTATGTTCCTGGCTAGCACCACTCAGTGTTATAAAATATCGTTTATATTCAAATTAGTCAATTTGCTCCATAGTCTTCAATCAGAATCTTACTAGGAGATTTTGGAGAATTTGACACATTTAAAATGTATTTATAAAATGTAAATTAGAAAGAATAAGTATGATAGTTCTGAAAAAATCTACACTGGCTGATATTAAAACTTATAAAATTAGACTTGTTGAGACAATGTGAATTGGCACAACAATGGACAAATAAAATATACTAATGGATCAAAATGGGGGGGGAATATGATTGTATACTGCTGTGGTGTGAGGACCGTGAGACAAAAATGGTCTTTTCAATAAATTGAGCTGGATAAAATGATCATCTCTATAGAAGATGATGAAATTGGATGTTTAGTTCATCCAAATAAAAATTGGTTCTATACTGGTCAAGAACTTAATGTCAAAAGAAAATGTTTAAGCTCTTCAATTCTTAAAAACTAGAAGTTCTAAATGTCAGAAAAGGTACAATCAAGAATATCAGAATAGACATTCAAGATTAATTTGGCCAATTAAATCAGCCTCACAAAACTTACTCTACCCAAAAATTTATTCACAATATTAACAAAATATTTACCAAAAAAGTAAAAATAAACATTCATTAGCAGTAATAGAACAAGGAAAATGGCAAACTCTGATGCCTTAAGCAACAAAAAGTTATAGCCAAAGAAAGGAAGATTCCACAGCAGTTTGTATAGTTTGGCAAACCCCTTCAGGCCAACATCTACCTCATTTTACAAACCCCTGGAGTTCTGAAACTCAGCTGAGTTGATATTTTTATCTGACCTGTCCCTGCCAATCCTGCTCAAGCCTTGATTGAAAAAACAACAACAACAAAAACAACAACAACACACAAACAGAGAGACTGAGCAACAAGCCTGACTTTTTCTTGATGGAAGCACAGTCTTCAAGTTGCACCAGGACTTTGAGAATGGAGCTGAAACCCAAGGATGTCCACTTTTGCAAACACAGAAACCCAATCTGAACTATTCTATAAAAATGTGCAAATGACTTCAACTGTGTATAACTGGGTTAGTCAAATTGTGAACATTGTATTACTACCATTCAAAAATGGGAGAGAAAGTAAACAGGGAAATTACGAAAAGGGAAGAATCTTGAATAGTTTTAAATATATGTCAGGCTCAGCAGTCCTTGGATAAGGCAATCAGAGAATAAGTGCCATCTACTCACCTCCAATGGGGAATGGGTTCTCATTCCCCCAACTGGTTACAAACCTCACTGAAGTCGGAAGGATTTATGATTGCCTCTCTCCTCTGAGACACTCACCTGGGAGATTGCATTTTCTTGGTTATCCCCAAAGCATCAGAGAACAGGAAATTATGCATGGTCGTTGTTAATTATCTAGAGTACCTTTGATAATTTTATTGAGGAATTTATTTTTACCTACAATTTACCTGCTTTCCTTTGTTATTATCTTTATTAATTTTTTACTGCATCTACTCAAACATCTGGATATAAATGTGTTATAAATTACTTTAATATTCAGTATTTTCCACAATGAATTCTTCTCAGTTTTATGTCTGAGGATGGAGACAGAACTGTTTAAATGTGTCCTGTAGTGTTTAAAAGATTCAGAACAAAACAAAAATGAAGAATATGTGTGTGACTCTTACTTTTTTTTCATATAAGGGATTACATTGAGTTAATACTCTCATTTCATACTCATAATCATCATCAATTTTCCTTTCCTATCTTCCACTTCCCTAGTCTACACAGGAATTTCTTCTACACAAGTTGATATATGTCCTTAAAAATAATTACAGCCTTCTAAAGTAAATATAATGTACATTTAAATGTGCGCATCTGTAGTTATATAACTCATTTTATACCTAAAAGTTCTCACTCGACTATATCACACACACACACACACACACACACCAATATTTGGCTCACTTCTGTTTAATAAAATTATTATAATCTGGTCTAGCCTCACTTAATATATATTTGTTTCCAATAGGCATTTAGTAATTGATCAACTCTTGACTTATGCATGTATTACTGCAATTCACAACTTTGTGTGTGTGGTCCTCACTGACCCATAAATGAATATCTCAGTAAAATATCTCCTGAAGTGAGTGTTTGATTTGGGAAAAATAAGCACATTTAATTTATTTAAATAAAGACAAATGTATTTCAAGATTTCAATATATATTCCACCATCACTACCCTAGATTTTCATACTCTGGGCTTTTATAAATAAGTACTGCTTGTACATGGTAAAGGATTTCAGTAAATCAGGTTTACCTAGAGAGCTAGCTAATTTTAGCCTTAAAACTAAAATTGCTTTAGTTGTCTTAATACATAATTCAAATAGTGGTTTGGATTTGAAATAGAAATATGCACTAAGCACAATCTATGTCAACAAAAAGTTCAGAGATTATAACACAGATGAATAGACACAACAT